GCGGACACATTGTGCAGCTAGTTTTTCATTGTACGTTATTTCTTGCTCTCGACAATGTCTTGAAGGTTGCATTCGTAATCTCAAGTCTATCTTCCCTTTTTATTGAGAAAACATTCTCCAGCAGACACCATCCTGGTTGTGCCCCATTCAACATTCTTAGGACTTCTGCGCATTTTCAGTACAAGTTTCCTCTCCCCAAAGCTCAGTCATAACCAAATCCACATACATTTCCCCAGGTCGCTTTCCCCGACTTTTGTCCGGTCCTGCCAATTCCGCATGCGTATCACCTTCTTTTCCTTTCTTGCTTCTTTACTTGGTTGACTTCCCACATATGCCAGCTGGCTTATTCCTCATGCCTTTCTCTTTTTTAGCCCCTTATCAAGCCTTATCCTCAAGTCCATGCAATACCAATTACTTGTCCACTTCCCATCCTGCCTGGCCCATACAAAGTCAGTCATGTCAATCTTTTCTTTTCCGATCGTCTGCCAGGCTTTTCTCTTAAGCTCCTACCAATCACTTGCTCCGATCTTTTCTGTTCTGGGCACCCTGCCAGTCCCCCTTTTTCTCAAGCCCATGCAAAACCCAAATACAGGTATTTTTCCATGCGTATTTATTGGTAGATGGCACGCCTTCCCCCCACTCAAAACGCGATGTCCCCATCGCGCGACTGGTCCTCACTCGGAGGCACGAGACCTTTCGCCCACCAACCGCCAATCAAGGACACAAGCCCGTCCGCTTCACAAAGGGAGGAGTGATCAGTTCCTCCCCAGCGGACGGCGCCTCATCCTTCTACTCGGTCCGGCCTTTCTTCTCTTACGTGGCGAGCACCAATACCAAGGTTCCTCCTCACGTCTGTCAGGCAGGTCCAATCCAAGCCTGCCAGGGCCTCGTCTAGCCGTAAGAGCGTTCCTCGCGAATCGTTCCTCCCGAGTGGTGGTTTTCTGGATTCCGGCCTCTTCCTTTCAAGAGAGTTGAGGCTCTCGATCAGTTCGCGGGTGCAGTTACTAAGACCTCGCAATTAGTCCCGAAACGGTTGTAATGTTTCGGCAGGGCAGTGTCAATGCCCTGTGGTGAACGCGGATTCCACCCGGTACTCCGCCAAGCTTTTCCCCTTGGACAGTGCGGCCCAACTTAGCGCGGACTGCCGTGGTCCGACCCAAACGGCCATGCCACCCCTCTATGACATGGCGTGTGGTTGGAGAATAGCAAAATAGACTAGATGAGAATAACTTTCCTGCCCATTTGGCTCTCTCGCCCTTTGACGTTTAGGCATTCAACAGGAGGCGCAGTTGGAACTCCCCGATTAGAGCTCATTGTCGGAGGTGGTTCCGGACGTCCCGCACCGGTCCAAGTGGTAGGTGCCTCAGTCCTTTAACCCTCATCCTCTTGCAAGAGGAATAGGTCGCGCTGAGACTTTTTCCCTCAAGGAGATAGAGGTCTTTGGGGTCGCGGTGCGTGCACCGGTATCCCCCTTTTGCTGAGGCCAAAGATTAGAAAAAAGAAATTCATTTCATTGCCATTTCCAAGTCCATTTCAAGTTGTCTGGGGTCCCCTGTTTATGCAATGTAATTTCCAATTCTCAATCCAATTCCAATGCTCCATGTCATTCCCATACTCAATCTCGTTCCAATGCTCAACCCAATTCCAAGGCTCAATCCAGTTCCAATACCTCTTCCAAGGCTGAGTCCAATATCCTTTCCAAGACTGAGTTCTTCCAATCTCTTTTCCACGGCTCAGCTCTTCCAATTCCATGCATCACAAGCAGCCATGCAAGGGGACCCCAATGCCAATTCCGAAGAGTGGCCCTTGTCAGAGGCCACTCCGAACAACCTGGTTAGGGTCGTTCTTTTCTATTTCCAAGTCGAACAGCCTGGTTAGGGCCATTCTTATCCATTGCAATCGGACAGCCTGGTTAGGACCATCCTTATCTCTCACAATTGGGCAGCCTGATTAGGGTCATCCTTGTCCATTTCAATGTTAGCGCCCGAGGGGGTGGGCCTCGAGGACACGGATCCTATCTCGTCTCGGGGTTTAGAAGGCGGCCATCGTCTTGGGTTTTTACGCATACTTCTTCCTTTCCTCCTGCCTTTTGTCATTCTTACATCCTTTCATACATCCGACTCAGCTTCTAGTACTCAAGTTGAGACTTGCGGCCCCAAGCAGCACTAGCCCGCCCGGCCGTTCAACCATTACAAGGGGTGCTGGATCCAATGTTTTCTTGCCACTTTTCTGACTTTTCATATGTTTGTCAAAGCTCTGGACTTGTCTGCGGTAGGTTGGATTAGGCTCCTAGGGAAGAGGATATCTCTTTTACCCATAGGTCCCCTAACCTCTCACAAAGGCTCATGCAATGACTCATTCAGTCCTAGATACACAATTTCAAGGGAAAAACTCTCGCCGTGACTGCATCTTCCATTGTTCCAAGAGTTCACATGCCCCTGCCTATTTCCTCGAGACAAAGTTAATCATCCCCAAAGTCTGTTTGTTACTGCCAGGAAGAGCTCACATTTTTCCCCCCGAAGAGGCGAATACTTATACAAAGTAGCACAAGCCTCCCAACCCCCACTAAGTTCTTGGATCCGAAGAAAGTAGTTCCATTACAGTCCTTCAAAAGGTAGGAGACAAAATTCGAATGCAACGACAACATTACAGACTTGTCTCATCAAGGTGCCCCTTGCTTTCCCCTTGCTCACTCTTAGCCAACGCCACCCATTACAATTCTATATCTAAGTGCACTGATTCTCATGTGTTTTTCCCGAAGGAGCGAGCACATATACGAAGTAGCACCCATTGCCCAGTCCTTAGTCAAAAGTTGCCTCATTTCAATCCATTCAGCAGAGTTCAAATGCGGAATTCAAAACGGCAGTTGTCCCTGCCCATGTACCAACCCTTCCCAATTTCCAGCTACCCCCCCCCCCCCATTGCTTCTGCTATTCCTTTAATGTCCAGGTGGCCTGCGTCGGGCCTCCTCCCTTGCACGGTCCTCCGACTCCTGCTGCTTTAGTCTCTTTATCGCCTGCAAGTGGAGGAGAGTCTCTTCTGAGAAGAATGTTGTTGGGGATATATCCTGTCCCCTGCGCAGCTTTTCCCTTGCCTTCATTATCCATTGGTATCGCAAGATAGCGCCCCATTGGTCAAACCAATCGCTGAACTCATCCCCGAACTCCTCTATCCATTTATCCTCCTTTTCACCCGGTTCCTCCCCTCTTCCCCATTCCTCTCTGGTGGGCGTTGTTACTTCGTCTTCTTCTTCATCACTGGTAAGGTCGATGAACTCAACGGGGTCATTCTCCCCCGGCCACTGTCCCTGCTCTGGGTTCTCCTCCTCCAACCTTGGTCTTTTCCCCGGGTTCCTCTCTTCCTCGCTGTTGGTATCGCTTTCGGAGGGGGGGAGTATTGGCTCCCCCTCCCTTGGTGGTGAAGGTCCCCTAGTCCCTTGCTTTCTTCCTCCCCTGTTCACAACCAGGTTGTGATCGAACCCCACATATAACTTTCTCTTCCTGGAGCTTGATTCCCCAGCCTGCCTCGATGACTTTCCCTCATTAGGCCTATTAATAGCGTTGCTGTCATTTTCATTTCCAAACTCCATTTTGCCGTTTGCTGCTTGCTCCTTGCGCGGTCCTGTTCATGCATATCAGTTGTCGTAACCCCTCATACACACGCATTCCCTTCCACTCCCATTCGCAGCTTTGGAGGCTTCCCTAGAACCCTTGTTTGCCCCCATGTAGTTGGTAGTCCCATTGTCCCTTAGAACTCTCAGCACAATGTCCCAACACATAAGTACCCCATGTAGGTAGTCCACATCATCACCCCACAAAAACTATGGTACATTGTCCCAACATATCGGTGCCCCATGTAGGCAGTCCACAGCATCACCCTACAAAAACTATAGTACATTGTCCCGTGTTCCCGAGCCCAGTCACAGTCAGCCCAGGCAGTCTCCCCACGTTCCACAAAAAACAAGACACACAAAAGAAACAATCCCTGTGGTCACGATCACTCCACAGAGAGGCGGTCCAGAACTTATAGCCAGCTGCCTGCCTTTGTGATTGTCAATTCCCCACTTTCCCTGTCCTGAGCTTCTTGTAACCATTGTTCCACCGGATCCCTGCTAAAAAATCTGGTCAACCTCTGCCCCGGAAATGGTCCTCTTATGCTAGTACCATCAAGATCCTCAAGTTCGAACGTATTCAGTCCCACCTGTTTAGCAATCCTGTAAGGCCCTTTGAATCTCTTCCCCAGCTACCCAGACCATATGCTTTCGAGGGCCAAGTTTCTAATTAGCACTTTCTCCCCCACCTGGAGTGGCTCCTTCCGAATGTTCTTGACCTGGTCCCACCTTGCTTTGTCCTTCATTCGGCTATCCGTTACACGGTTAATTACTTCCTCCAGTGCCTCCTCATTCCTGGCGACCTGCTGGCAACGTGCAGTGATTAACTCTTCCGTGGTCAGGTGCGGATTATCGTCTAATCTGTTCCAGGTAGGGATGAGGGCCTCCACTTGAAAGTCAATCTCCCTTCCGTACCATAGCTCTACTAGAATGCATCCCGTCATTCTCTTTGGTATCATGTTCTCAGCGAAGACTGCCTGCTTAAGGTACCGTGGCCAGCTTCCCAAGTTGTCTGCTACAAGTTTAGCGATTGTGTTTTTTAAGGTCCGGTGCCCCCTTTCTACTGGTGCATTTGCCTCGGGGTGGTAGGGCTGAGTGATCTTGATTGGTACGCAAAGTGTTTTAAGCCTATTCAACACCTCCTGGTTAATGAATTTTGTCCCATTGTCTGCTATAAACCTGCGCACGAAGGGGTGTCTTAAGTAAAAACCTTCCACCCAATCAGCCACTGCTTTCCCTGTCTTCCTTTTGAGAGCTACGGCCTCTACGTAACCACTGAGATTGTCCCTCGCATCCAGGATGTACCTAAACCCATCCGTTGATACGGGCATGACCGCAAGATCAAGGTGAACAAGGTGCCCGGGTCCCAATACCCGTGTGGGTCTGAGTGGCTCGTAAATTCGCACGGAGCTCCTTTCTTGGCATATCAAACATGTCTGACAGTACGGTGCGACCATGCCTGCCATTCCTGGCCAGAATTACAAGGGCAAAATCTTTGCAAGTGTCCCCTTAGACGACCGGTGACCTCCAGCTAGCCCATCATGCATTGCCTGAATTACGTCCAGCTGCCTGGACCTTCCACAAACGACACGCCTAGGCATCATCCCTTCCTCTTTCTTGAACAGGTGGCCGTTTCTTAAGACATACTTTTCGACTTCCTCCCTTGCCTTGGGACTGACTTCCGTGGGCTGTTTGTTCCCTGCAAGCAGCAAGCCGATTTCTCTAAAGATGCCCTCATACATGTGTATGAGGAAGAATTCTTGTTTCTTCTGATCCGTACCCTGCTCCTCCCGGGTCTGGTTGACTAGGTACTGGCACTCCTTCTGCACCCAAGTTTCGGCCAACGTCATCACGGCGTCCCGTCCCCCTTCCATGGCCATTGCCATCAGCTCCTCTCTGGTCCCTACTTCTGCTCCCCACGAGTCCTTTTCCTCTTTGCGTCTGACTGTGGTGACTGGTCCTTCCCTGAGTTCTGCAACTACCGCAGGTGTGCCTTTTTCCAAAGTCTGGATCAGCAGCTGGCCCGTTGTAAGTGTTGTGTCAGCCATTTCGTTATCCACAACAAGAGTCTCCCCTTCGTAATCTAGGAAGGCGTCAATTGGTTCCGCGTCCTCTATTCCCTCTGGCGTGATGCATACCCTACTCAGCCCGTCTGCCCTGTTTCGAAGCCCCGTGATCCGCTCGACCTTGTAGTCAAACTGCCATATGAAGCCTATCCATCTGCCGACGGTCGGGTCTATAGGCTTGTAATTCTTCAGTGCCCCGGCAACATTGGTGGGATCAATCCTTAAGATGAATCGCCTCCCAAACAGATATGCCTGGAAGGTCTTTAGGCAATGTAGGATGGCTAAGACCTCCTTCTTGAACTGCGAGTACCGCCGTTCTGCTGAATTCAAGGTCCTACTCTCAAATCTGATTGGTCTTTCCTTGCCCTCCTCGCTTTTCTGTATCAATACGCCTCCTACTGCCATTGGGCCGCCATCTGTCTCTAGGATGAAGGGCCGTCCTACCTCGTCACTGAAGAAGGGTGCTGCTAAGATAACTTGATCGGACGACAGGATGTCTTTCAGGGTCTGTGCTGCCTCTTCCCTATCCTCGATCCAATCCATGGTGCCTCCCTCCCTAATCATCGCGCGGATAGGTTCTTCTATCTTTGCGAAACCTTTGATGAAGATCCTCCAGAATCCAACCACCCCTAGGAAGGCTCGCACTTTCGTCGTGGTACGCAGGGGTGTCGGCTTATCTGTCTTTGCTGGGTCGGGTCTCCTCCCATAGGCCCCACAGCGGAATCCCAGTATAGTTACCTCCGGGACAGCCAAGATGCTTTTCGGCCCACTTGCGGTAATATTATAGAGCAAGAACCGCTGTAGGAGATCCTTGATATCCTGCAGGTGATCCCAGATAAATTTTCGCACACCCGGCTCGACCTCCGTCTCGTCCTTGTACCTTGCGCCTTTTACGGGATTATCATCTATATATGGTTCACACTTTTCCGGAAACATATCTCCTGTGACGGCGAGCATCCTCCTCTGCGCCTCTGCAACCGCATTTGCGAAACCCATAGGGGTCACTTGCATCTGCAACTGTCCTACGGGGGTGTGCATTGCGGTGTACGGTCTATCCCTCGCATCGAGTGGCAGCTGATCATATCCTGAGTACAAGTCTACTAGGGAGTAAATGCTCCGCCCCGCATGAGATTCTGCCAGCAAGTCGGCCTGTGGAAGCGAGCCTGCGTCCCTAATTGTTACCGCATTGAGCTTTTGCAGGTCCTGGATCCACCTGAGCGTCTTATTGGGCTTCCTGAACACGAACCACTTGTTCGCGTAGGGGGATGCGGTGGGTTCAGCCACGAAAGAATCTATCTTGGCTCTAAGTAGGTCGGTGACTTCCGCTGCTATCCCAAACTCATAGGCGGACCCTTTATCATTCCAACACTCGTGCTGTACGGTGTGGATCCTGACAGAGGGGACTAGCTTTGCGTCCAATCGCCCTTTCTGGTGATCGTTGAAGGCGAAGGCTAAATGAAACTCCTGACATGTCTTTCTTATCAACTGAGTTTCTTCCGGTGTTAGGGACCCTTCCACTCCTATTTTCATGACATCTGCTACGTCATCTGGTATGCGGCGACCTTCTGTTGCACGTCTCTCCCTTATAACCCGTAGGATCTCCTTTTCTTTTTCCATGGTCTCTTCCCTAGATGTTTCTATTAGGATCGAGACCGGCTTGGCCTTCTTCCCTACGGGTTTGTATTTTCGCACGCTACCCTCTGGGATCGTTCTCCTAAAAAATGAACGGTTGGGATCGGCCTTGCTTCCTCCAAGGGGCGGGGCTGGATGCTGACCAGTTTCCCATTCAGACAGTAGCCCTTTCGGACCCCATCCTCGAATTTGGCAATCGCTACGGGGTCCACCTCCACTTTGTGGTACCTGATGGGCTTAACGAGTTGTAATAGATCTGGGACTTCAAGCACCACCTCCGTCGTTTCGTTCCGACCTTCCTTTGGTTTGGGCAGGCTGGCCCCAAGTTCGACTTCCGACTCTTTTTCTGCCACTATAACTTCCAGGGCTTCGTCTTCTTGCCTCCTCTTCTTCTGGGGTAGGCCCATTTTAATCTATTCTTTTTTACTAAATGCTTCCTCAATCATAATTTCTACCCTTTCCCTCATGCCTTGCATCCGTGCAAATGCGCCCTTTCGTGCGCTTTCTTCGAAAGTCGGTGACCAGGTTGCCAACTTACCCCTGGGAGGGTCCCCTCCAGTTCCGAGGAGTCGGAGAAGTTCTCTGTGACCAGTCACCGGATCCTCTATGTCTACCATACATGTGCCATCATGCAGGTGCATGCCAATCATTTCTACGTTGGCACACCAGGGTCTCCCGAGGATTATGTCGTGGTCCATTTCTTCCATGACAGTCATCCGTTGAAAAGACCAAATGGATTCTCGAATCCCTGCCTTGACTGCGCATTTGGTGACATACCCAGTGAAGGGAATTTCTCCCCCTACTCCCCGGATACTCCCTGCTACCTCCTTGTTCACTGTGCACCCTGTGATCGTTGCGAAATCCCGCCGTATGAGGGTGATTTCCGCGCCGCCATCCACTAGTGCATCGGTGTGGTGAGTTCCGATCTGGACCTTCAGTTTTCCTACAGGGAGTGCATGAAAGCTAAGTTTAGTGCCTGGTGGTGCTCTCATAACTTCGCCACCGTCTCGGTCCAGTAAGCTCGGACGAATATTAGCGAAGGCTTTTTCCAATTCTTCCAAGCCCCCTGGAATACTTTGGAGGTTAGAGACTCCTTGTGGCGCCTCGGTCTCCTCGAGTCCTTGTTCCTGTGGTTCCGAAGCCTCCTCTACTTCTACACGTTTACGCGTCAATAGCTGCCTGAGGCCCTTGAGCAGTCTCGGGCTTGCCTGCAGCATGGTCTGGAAGGATACCGACACCATGGTGCCTAGGAGTTTGCTCAGTGTGTCATCTAATTCGGGCAACGGCAGGATCGGGATCTGGTATCTGAACTTCTTTTTTGCCGTCGTGACTTTATCTACCGGTTTTTCTTCCCTCGTTTTTCCGTAGACCTTCTTCTATTCCCCGGCCTCAGCTTCCTCCTGATCTGCACTAGCCCTCGCGGCTTCTTCCATTACAGTGTCTCGGATGAGCTTCTTTTCCGCGCCAACCTGTCGAGTAGTGATGTTTACTCTATCCTGCCCATTGCTTTCTAGGATAAAATTGGCCTGTGGTCCCCGTCCCTTTTGCTGGTCCCAGACAATCTCGGCTATCGGCTCTGCTTCGACGGCGGCTATCTCTAAGTTACTTAGGAGGATGACGGTTCGCCGCATTCCTCCTGGCGAGTTCCAATTGACACGCTCCCCCTTGGGTCCGAGGATCTCGCCTTTGAGGGACCTACTGCACCTCTGCCGCTCGATATCGTGATTGAGTCTCGGACAAGCCCGTACGAAATGCCCGATCAGGGTGCAATACTTGCATTGTTCGTTGGCCGGGTCTCTCCTGCCAAATCCCCGGTTTGCTACAGCTGCCGGGACCACGGCTTCTTGGGGCGGGAGGGCGGGTTGGGCTACTTGCGCCTGCATCACTAATAGCGCACTTTCCATTCTTTCTATCTTGTTATCAAACCCGTGCACCCTTTCATGCAGGCTCTCTATTCCCTTTTTGACCTTATTCCCCGTTTTCCCGGTCAGGTCTATAACCCCCCTTCCTTGAGCAGGGCCAGGGTCTCAGTTACCACTATTTTTTCTGCAAGGTTTGTTACCGTACTGAAATCCACATCCCTTGTGTATTCAAACTTGCTGGTCTGCTGGTACGCTGACAGAATCTTATCCTCGTCAAACTCGGAGAACTGCCTGAGGAAGTATTTACTCATTATGCGGTCCGTTACCCCAGGGATTCGTAGCGCCACTAACGTAAACGCCCTTAGGAAATCGTTGTAAGTCGCATAGTTTTTCCTCTGGACTGCTGCTAATTCGGCCTCTGTTGCCATTTTCTCTGCCTTCAGATATTTCCTCATCATCTCGTTCCTGGTTTCTTTTCAGGATCCACTGGACGCGACGATGGCCATAATGTCCCTTCCCAAGCTTAGCGACATGTGTTGCCCTAGGTGCTCCATCTTTTCTTCTTCTGTCCATTTTAGTAAGGCTGCTAGGTTCTCATAATCTATCAGGAACTTTGTAATGTTTGCCCCATCGAACGTGAGTTTCTTCTTTGCATCTGCGAGATATCCCTGGTTCTTATTTAACGCCCGGGTGAGGGTGGTGACTATCCTCTTGAGACCACCCTCGGAGCTACCTGCTTCTCCAGCTGCGCTGGTCCCTTCCCTTTCCTTGCTTTCCCTCTGTTTTTTCCCTGGTTTTCGGCATTCCTTCTGGGTCAAACCATCCTAGCACCCTTTCCCTAAGGCTCCAAAGTCCGTCGCATGCCCCTGTTACTTTTGGAGTGGCTGGCAGTCGGCTAGTGCCGCTGTCAATGGCGGGCGGGGTCATAGCGTTTTCCGCACCCTCCACCGGGGGGTCGTTCTTGTCCCTCCCCTTCTTGCTAGGCGTTTCTTTGCGACTATTATCCTTCCCCTCGTACCTAACCTCGTCCTGACCGGCCCTGCGTCCCTCATGTGATCCTGCGCCCTGGGGGTCCTCCTCGTCCTCGACCATCATCTGCTCGATGAGTCTTGCCTTAAACTCTGCAGTCCGCTTTTCTATGTCTGCCAATTTACGACTGGTATCCGAAACTTTTGTCTTTTTAGGAGTGGTTCCTGCTGAGTTCCGCAATCTTGTTCTCATATCGTTTCCCCCTTCCTTGTTTTCCTGAGGACCTCTTTTGTTACCTCCGGCTTTCCCCAAGCTTTCTCCAACTGAGAAGTCCTTTCCGTCTTCTTGGGTTCCCTCCAGTTTGACTGACTCTCGATCCCTCGCTGATCCCTCGTTTCGTTCCCCATCCCCATTCGTGCCCTGATTCCCTCCGCTCTGCTGGTTATCGATCCCTTCCTCAGTTGCCATTTCTTTACGTAGCCTGCACATGGAAATTTTTTTGCGAAGAATGGTCGGTTGTTCATAACTGCCCTAGTTCCGGACCTAAAGCCCGCCTATTCCCATGTTTTTGCGTCTTACATTAATCAGTACCACTCTTCTGACTTTTCTTTCCCAGGGGCGTCCTTCAGGTTTACTTCTACCGGGGCCTTGCTGCTGCCGCTCGGCTTTCTTTTACTGCCGCGCTTAGATTCTTAGGGCGATGCCTGAGCCTAGTGCCTTTCCTATCGGGTATGGCCTTTTTGGCTTATTGGCATCCAGGTGCCCCATAATTTTTGGAGCGGGTGGTCTTCCTAATTCCTCCCTGCCGCATCATTGGGTCGGCCGGAACTCCAACCACTGCCCTTCTTGCTGATGGCTGCCTATTTGTCTTAGTACCTATCCTTTATTTCCCTACCTCTTCCTGACGCGTTCTCTCACGCTAGTCCCTCAGGCCTACCCTGTTCATCTGGTTCCTCGAACAGGTCAGCCAACCCTGCCAGGTAATTTTCCCCCATCTCTATTTCCCTGATAATTATTGGCTCATATTCTTCAAACGACAGGTGCGGCAAACCGAATATCAGGATCTCGAGTAACTCGAGTAGCTCCCAGGCCTGATTTCCCCAGAACGGCCCATATCTGACCGACACATCGTAGAACATGCTCGTTGTTTGTGGCCGGAAGAGGTGGATCCAGACCAGGGTCGAGTCCACCAGGTCCCTAGCTCTTTTGAGGCTACCGAATACCAAGTCCACCATGAAACGAGGTACTCGACACCTCAACCCGGTCATTGGGGCCTTAAACTCTCGCCAGCCTCCGACCTCCACCCGGGTCTTCAAACCCACGTTTCTTCTCCCCCGCACCTCCTGACCCACCCTGTTCAACATCCTAGTGGCCCTTTGGAAGATTGGTAGCAGTCTGTGGCTTAGTGCCAATTCCGTTCCTAACATGTACCATCCAATCTCAGGCAGGTATACGGTCCCCGTCACCTTAAGATCGGTGTACAGATCATCTCTCGGTCCCCTGTCGATCCTCATACCATCCCACAAACATTCCACCAACATGAACGCTTGACCCCTTCCCAAGGTCACGGCCCTCTATTCGGTATCGAGTCCTTGGATCACATAGCTTGCTGGGAGCGATACCTCCCATCCGCCTCCACTTTCCGTAGGTGGCCGCGGGTGCATAGGCTGTTGTAACATCCGGGCGCGTCTCATTGCCATTTTTGACTTAGTGGTTCCCTGCACAGTTTAAACAGCAAGCGGATTTACTTATTTCATTTCGTCTTTGGCTTCCGCTCGAACACTCCCTGGTCTCTAGCTTGAGCCTTCTTTTCCTCCCTTTCCCTTGACCCTTCTCTTTTACTGGTCTGTCCCTACTTCCATTGGCTCATACAAACGATACAAATCATCCACGTACACCATCCCTCGGCTTATTTCCCGTCGGACGACACCCCACAAAATTTCGCTGCTAACAACCGGAGCCCTTGGCCTGGTGCAAAACACAGCGCGTAAGACGCGCAGCACCTCGTACCTCCGCTCTCCACAAAACGGTCCCATTTCCAAGAAGGCCCGGTAGTATTCTCGACATACCATCACATCTTCATACGTCAGGTTCACAAGATCGGCTACTGCTTCTCTAACAAGTTCCAATCCGCCCAGTCTCTCCAGCAGGAAGGGCGGCAGCTTCATTTGCACATTTTCACTGGGCAATTCAAAACTCCCGACCATGGCTACCCTAAGGTCCGCTGTTACATCATCGACCCCTGGGTCTGCGAACTCAAAAACCCAGCCTGCCAAACTAACTGCCACGCCTTTTCAAACATACTCAGCAGGTCTTCTCCTGATGCCAACCGAACTCCAAACTCCCGCCACCCATCTTCAGACATATACAATCGTCCTTCCGCCCGCACATGCCCCCGTGGGTCCGGGTTCCACTCCCCATTCTCGTCTGCACGCCATTCCACCCTTGTTACTAGGTAAACCAAGTTTTCCATGAGTTCAACCCCGACCCAATCTAACACCGGGTGCCAACCCTCATTTGTGGCGGGCAGGCTGATCTCTACCCTACCGTCCACATCCCTAGGCAGCTCAATGCCCAGCGGGCGGTCCTCAAGGAACGTCCTTCGTCGTGCCATCTGCGCTCTCGTCCTTGGTCTTCTCTCTCGCAGCCCACACCGAGACCTACACCGGTCAGACATCCCATCCCCTCATCTTAGCAATTTTTCTCATACTCGCCTGGCCCCTCAGCTTTACCGCTCTTTTAGTCAAACCACAATACTTCAAACAGTTTGAATACGTCATCCACATAGCACGGGGTCGCTGCTACCTCCCGGCGGATTATGGCCTCCCTAGTTTCCGGGGCCACCTTCTGTTGGTCTTTTCTTTCAATATCCAAAATGATAAGGACCTCCCGGGCTCTGTCACTGTGGAAAGGTCCGAACTTCAAGGATGTTCTATAGAATTCCTCTGCCAACCATGCGTCGCCTATGTGTACCCGTTCCATAGTGCTGGCTACTTCCGCAACGTGATCAAAGCCCCCGAACCTGTCCGCCACGAAGTCCGACACCCAAGTCTTGGTCCGGGCACAGGGCGAGTCAAATTCCTTCCAACCTCCCATCACCACCCTACTACTGACCTCGTCCCACCCCTTATTGGCGAACTTTTCACTCGCCTTTCGAGTCCTTGCCTCGGCATCCCCAAAAAGCCACATCGGGTTCTGCCCAGCCGCAAGCGTCGTGCATAACAGGTGCCATCCCTGTTCCGACAAGACGACCGTCCCGACGGACTCCACTTTCCCTTCCGCGATATCATCCCATCCTTCCGCCTCCCTCAGCGGGTTCCAGACACGTTTTACCCACAGATATGATAGTTCTGGTACGGTCTCATAGCCCTGCCAGTCACATGTGGACCCTTTCCATTCATCACTCATTGGTACAGACATTTCCACTCCCCTTCCTACTCGTTTTGGGTCCCACGTGCAATCCCATAGCAAAAATTCCCGGGCCATTGCTCCTACCTGCACATAGTCAACAACCCCATTTCCCGGGTAAGTCCCCATCCCCGTTCTTTAGAAGTCCCAGTCCTCTATCTCGTTCCCGTCCTCATTCTCACTGTCACTGAAGTCCTCCTCTTCTTCCGAGAACAGTTCCTTTAGACCTTCTAAGAAAGTCTCCCCCGCCGCCACATTTCGGTAGATTATCTGCCAATGCACTGGGCTAGAGACGAAGATCTCATCCACGCTGAGGAGGTTTAGCACCTCAGCCAGTTCCTCCAACCAGTTCCCTTCGAACGGTCCCGCCTCCACCGATAACTTAAAGAAATCCTGCCGCGCGCACTGGTACAGCCTAAGATGCGTCATTGATCGACATATCTGCTCCAGCCTACCCCTGGTCCCGAAGACTGCATCCACCAAAAATGGGGGTAGCACACACCTCATTGTTCTAAGGGGCCGTCTCATACTCTTCCTGTCCTCGAGTTCCACTCGCACATCTATCTTATCCATTTCCATTTCCGCCCGCTGACATGCCGCCCATACCACCTCTCGTTCCGCTTGTCTAAACAACTGTGTCGGTGCCACGCCCAATACCAGCCCTATTACCACTTCATTTTCCAGATCCTGGGATAGGTAGACCCACCCTCGGGCTTCCACCGTCCCCCGGAACTCTAAGCCCATCAAACTTGGCGAGAGTCTCGTCAGGCTGACCTTAGTCCAAATCGTCTCTATCCAGAGGAACGCGTCCTTCTCGTCCAGCGTCACAGTTTCATAGGCTGGTTCCAGGTCCGTCCACGTCCCTTCTTCCGGGAGAACAACAGATACCCCTTCCCTTACGTCTATTGGTATTTCCAGGCCGCTAGAATAGACAGGGGGTGACAACCATTGCACCATCTTGTTTGCTGGCTCCCGTCCTGTTTTTCACAAGAGAGCACCACATGGCCCCTCTTGATCAGATTGTCTCCTTTCCGTAGATGGAGATTGTTTTCAGACCCCCTCATCCGGGTCTCCCTAACCCATTCCTACCCATTTCCCAGAGACCGCTACCCAACCATTCCCCCAATCGACCGGCGTTCCTTTCTCTTCGTTCTCTTTGCCTTCCGACTCCTATCCATCCTCAACCTCATATTCTCTCACTCATGCAGATTCAAGGAAGGGTGAGAATAGACTAGAAGCTTAGTTCCCATCCCACACACATCAAGCAACCTTTTACGGAGGGAGGCACGAAAGGAAAACTCAGGCAAGCATCGCACACAGGTCGGTCATCTCCTCACCGGCCTTTTCCCAAAGTGGTCTCTCCACTGTTACTATCGGCAGAGTTTTATCCCGTACCTCAAGCACAGCTCAACCGTCGCGAGCGCGGTACCCAGGCTCCGGCAAGGCGTTAGCCCTTTCCTTGTACCCAGAATACCCCATCCCGACTTGCCGCTCGCGTACCCACCGCTAATCTCGGGAATCACCCCGCACATCTCGGTAGGGCCGTTGGAGCCAGCCGTCCAGGCACTCACTTCCACTGGTCCGACAAGGAACAGCCTCCCTCAAACCATGCTACGAGAAGCTACTAATCGTCCCGGAAGCTCCGTCTGTGCCCGCATGTGGTGGTACTCCCTCCGCCTGCCAACAGGCTAAGCCCCGCCTGAGGAGATTTCACACCCCGTTCGGCAGATCATCGAGCCAAAGCCCATCACCGCGCGGACGTGAATGCTACTAATCAACCGACGTGACAAACTCCCGTTCGACAGCCCGGTGGCCCGATCTCCACACATGAACCCACCGCAACTTACAAAGGGGAGCAACGTTTGGCAACCCGCACCGGCCGGTATAGACCCCTCCTTTCCTTCCAAATGGCAGGACACTCGAAATCCCATACATGCAGCCACAAGTCCCAAGTGGGACACATATAATACAAGTGCTTTTTCCCATGGTGCACCCTGCGCTTCCTACCCCTCGCTCACAGATTTTCTCTCAAGACAGTGTGTGCCACTCACCCTTAACTTCCATACATAGTGCCTGGTTCCTTCTCGTGGGCGTCTTTAAAGGTGAGCCAGTTTTTCTCGGAGTCTAGCAACTCCCGTCATTCCCTTTGTCTTCGCTTGTCTGTCCGTTCATAGGGCAGGATTGTTCCTTCTCGATTACCTTGTGTGTTCATATGAGGTTCATTCAAGCATTAATGTGCGGTGCGCAGAGCCCGCTGGGCTCCGAAGAAGGAGAAGAGAAGCACCCGTGTCGGTCGGATCACTCCGCCGCGGGATTCTCATTGGGACCCGGACTGGCCCGGAATCCCAACCGCCTGCCAGGTAACCGGAGCCCTTCTTTCATACGAAGAGGAAGGGTCGACCTGCGGCTTGCCCAAGGCTTCCCCGGTCTGACGAACATCAGCCCGAAAGGAGGACTAGAGTCACCCCCGATGGAGATGGCTAAGCAAAAGTGCATACACACATGTTCTTCCTCCAGGCCTGGCCTTGCCATGCGCCCAGCCACCCTCAAATCTGCTTCACTCAAAGAGATAGCGCATGCATAAGTCCTTATTCCTCATCTTTAGTTATGTTCGCGGTCATGCGTCGGGCGCCCCCCTCGAGATCGCATGGGTCAATCTAACCCATTACCCGGCATCTCCACCAATTTTGTAGGGGCCGTACCCTGAAGGACTTTCGAGCCTTGGTCGACCCCACTGTGGGTCCCACGTGGCTCAACCCGCCCACGGTCACGCTCAGGGCGCCGGTCGTTCGTCCCAGGGGCACCCCCACCTAGTGCTATGAGATGGATGAGGATGGGCCTTGTGCGAGAGGGCTTTACATTGGGGGATGTAGCTCCGCTCTCGCGTCAAGATGGTAGCTCTTTAGGCACTCGTGGCATTTTCTTGATTCAGTTAAGTCTGACCAGGCAATTGCTCCTTCCAATACGCAGGCAGTTCAGGGAGCTCATTCAGGTCTTATCTTCTTACCGTGCACAGGCCAAGCGTCATCAATTAGGCCACGCACCTTTTCACTAAGTCTAGTGGCTCAGGGCAGCCCCGACGGCATCCTCGGGGTGAGGCGGCGTCGCCCGGACCCCTAGCCGCTATATTTTTTTGCGAGAGCCACTTGCATCACACCCACCTATCCAAGCCCGCCCTTAGTCTTTTCAGACTTGCATTGCATTCACGAGAGAGCCATTGCATTCAACCATCACACCAGCCACATCCAGGCGTCTACCATTCGTCCAAGCATCCGACCATCCAACCCATCTTGCATCCACAGCTTATGCGAGGCCCAAGTTCTTCCCTTAGCCATTTTCCCACCCTTGCCCTCGTCTGCGGGTCCACTCCCGTTCAGATCGTCCCAAGCTACTCACCTGCGCAGACCACACAAGACAAATGACCAAGTACAATCCCCATTGGGGTCAACACATCGCCCCCTCCCACAAGCCTAAGTTCTCTCTTTCCATCCCGACCCCCTTGTGAGTTCCCTTTTCCTTTCCCGCAAGCAGGCCACGCAGTAACCTTAGTCATGCAGTCGGGGAAGATGGTTGAGTCAAACCGACCTCGTTGCAAAAGTGATACTCCTTCCTTCTTGCTTCCACAGCCGTTTCTCAATAGTCTCGTATCCTTCCCTTCTTGGTGGCACAAGGGACCCGCAACCCTTCCCTTGCCCTCGCTTTCCACCAAGTGAGGACCAATGTTCCTTTCCGTTCGTTCCCTGGCAATGTAACAGGTGAGGGTAGAGGTGAGTCACATGCCATAGAGAAGGGGGAGCGACGGATGGATTAGGGGTTAAAGGGTTTTTGGAGGAATGGAGGAAGACGGAGGGAGAGGGG